AGGAAGAGAAGGGGAAAGAAGGAAGGGAAGGGAAAGAAAGGAAGAGAAGGAGAAAGAAGGAAGGGAAGGGAGAAGGAGAGAAGAACAGGAAAGAAAGGAAGAGAAGGGGAATGAAGAAGGGGAGGGAGGAGGAGGGAGGGAGGAAAAGGAAACAAAGAGAAGAGGAAAAGGGAAGAGGGGGGAGGGAAAGGAAAGGAAAGGAAGGAAGAGAAGGGGGAAAGGGAAGGGAAGGGAGGAGGGAGGGGGAAAAGGGAAGGAAGGAAGGTACAGGGAAAGGAAGAAAAAGGAATGAGATGCAGGAAGTGCGCAACCTTCCTGTTCCCTCCATAATTTTTGTTATTTTTAATGCCTCCATTTCAACTTTGGATCTAAGCTGTGCCAAGAATATTAATATGCAACATATTTTGGCAGGGATAAGCTATCAGGTCATCTGTGGGGGGTTTTGGTTGTTGTTTTTGTGGAATTTGTGCAAATCCATAAACACCCTGCCTCTTCCACTCATCCCCAATTAAACTCAATAACCCACCCTCTGAATTCAAGCTGGATTCAGTTGTGTGAAATTGGGGGGGGGGGGGGTAATATCCCAGGCTTCAGCTTTCTCCAAACTTTAGCCCACAAATTGTAGCTTCGGATTAATCGAAAAAACCGTCACGCATGAGGTCCTCTGGATATGTCGGACTCCAACACCCATCATTCTCAACCGTGGCCACCGTTAAGAGGGCCACCTTTGATGGCCGTGTTGTCGATTTTGGATGACGGAGGGTGGTTGGAGGCAATGCCAAAGTATTTTGAGTCTTTCCTGAAACTCTTCCTTCTGCAATCTTTTGTGGAAAACTGTTTAGGAATCATTTCCTCTGAATTCAGAAGGACTTAGTTCAGGGGCGTCCAACACAAGGCCTGCGGTTGGATCCGGCCCATAGGGCTGTCCTGGAAAATGTAAGGAGCTGGCCTGTGTTGCTTCAGCCTGGTCTACCCAATGCGAAGGAGAAACATGCCAGCAGTTTGGGGAGTGGCGTCAAGTTGGCCATGCCCACCCAGTTAACCACACCCATCCAGTCACACACACACACCCGCGCCCCCCCTCCCCCCAAGGTCAACGACAGCCCTGATGTGGCCCTCAATGAAATTGAGTTTGACACCCGTTCTAGAAGCTTTCTACAGCACTCTTTCCTTGGTGACTCCCAACAGAATCCAAAGGGTAAAGATAAACTATTTAATGACACCAACATACCCCCTATCAGTGGTTGGATGCTACCGGTTTAACAATCGGTTCGGTGAGCGCGTGTGCAACTAGAGCATTCAGAAGCTCAGCTGCTTACCTTCCAAGTCAGCAACGGTAAGTAGAACAGCGAGAGGGGGGGAAATCAGCTGTGCTGTGCGATTGAGATGAGCTACAAAGCAGGAAATAAAGGACAGGATACGGTAGGGGCGGGTGGATAGGGCCAGCTGATCATCAGAACTACTGGTTCACCTGAACTGGTCTGAACCAGCAGCATCCCACCACTGCCCCCTATCTACATTGCTCTTCAAAGGCCATTCTCATTGTCCAACCTGGAATCTCTCCACTATGACACAATGATACTTTCCCCAACATTCACTGACATGGGGAAAAGGTGTCTATTCTTCAGCTATTACAGGTAGTCCTCAACTTAGTGAAATTGAGTTTGACACCCCTTAATCACAGACCAAGTACGGGAGTTAGTCCTCGACTTACGACTGCAGTCGAGCCCAAAATTTATGTTGCTGAGTGAGAAAAGTGAGTTTTGCCCCATTTTACGACTCTTCTCACATTTGTTAAGCGAACCACTGCAGTTGTTCAACAAGTAACCCCATTGTTAAGCGACTCCGTTTTCCCCATTGACTTTGCTCGTCAGAAGGTTGCAAAAGGGGATCACGTGACCCCAGGACACTGCAACAGTCATGTGAGTGAGTTGTCAAGCATCTTAATGTGAATCATGTTGACCGCGGGGATGCTGCAACAGTCGTTAAGTGTGAAAAGTGGTCATAAGCAGAGGTGGTATTCAGCAGGTTCTGACCAGTTCTGGAGAACTGGTAGCGGAAAATTTGAGTAGTTTGGAGAATTGGCAGATACCATCTCTGGAGATTTTACAGTATCCTTCCCCTGCCACGCCCACCAAGCTACACCCACAGAACCGGTAGTAAAAAAATTTGAATCCCACCACTGGTCATAAGTCACTTCTTTTTCAGTAAATTTGAACAGTCACTAAGTGAACTGTCGTAAGTCAGGGACTGCCTGTAAGTTGAATCCATTTCTATCCTCGCATTTTCAATCTTAATAGACAAATAATAAGGAACCACAATCCAGACAGGGATTGAGGTCCATCAGAACGCAGCTTTATACAGGAAGTCCTTGACTTAAGACCACAACATTTGAGCCCACATTTCTGTTGCTAAGCGAGACCGATGTTAAGTTAATTTTGCCCCATTTTACGACCTTTCTGACCACGGTTGTTCAGTGAATCACTGCAGTTGTTAAGTTAGTCACACAGTGGTTCAGTGAATCTGGCTTTCCCATTTGACTTTGCTTGTCAGAAGGTCGCCAAAGGGGAATCACATGACCCCAGGACACCGTGACTGTCATAAATACGAATCAGATGCCAAGCGTCCAAATTTCGATCACATGACTAACGGGGATGCTGCAATGGTCCTTTTTTTCAGTGCCGTTGTTAACATATGAACTCTTGTAAGTCAAGGACTAACTTCTATTTTTCTCTTCGAAGAAAAAAATAAATCACACTTTATACCTATTTTAAAAAAGAGGGGAAAATCCAGCATTTATTATTTTTCTTTAAAAAAAGGGGGGGGGTATTTATCTTTGACAATTCTTTTTTCATAACAAAAAATGTTTTTTTTAAAGTAACAAAACAGTTCCAGACAACTTAGGCAGGGGCCAAAACAAAATAAATCTTTTCAAACTTCCAGCATTTCAAGTCCATTTCCACCCAGAAATGGTGTGTGTGTGTGTGGTTTTTTGTTTATTATTGCTAACATTAAAAAG